AGAGAGAGAGAGAGAGAGAGAGAGAGAGAGAGAGAGAGAGAGAGAGAGAGAGAGAGAGAGAGAGAGAGAGAGAGAGATGTGTGAAACACATATAGGACATCCTCAGCATGGAGACCATTCACATACCAATCGGAACACCTGAGGAGGAAAATTTGCATCTGAGTGAGTCGAGCCAAAGGACAACCCTCACAGTAATACAACCAGACAAGGCAAAAGCAGCAAGGCACAACAACCACCAGGCAGAAAATCGCAAGGTAATTGGCAGCGAGCTACAGGGGAGTGAAACGAAGGGCATCAAGGCAAAGGCAGGAGGGCAAATGACAAGACAAAAGCCATAATTGGCCAGGCAAGCAGTGTGGGAAGTCGCGGCAGCGAGGCAAAAGGCAGCTAGGGCCATGGACTGAAGGGCAAAGGGGAGGCTGGTGGGCAGACAAACATCACAAGACAGCGAGTGAAGAGGCAGACAAAAAGATGGTGAAGAGAAGGCATGAGGCAACAAGGCATTGAATGATAAGCAGCAGAAAGGGACATAGACTGGGGGCACGGGAAAGGTGGGTGGGCAGACAGACAGCACAAGGCAGTGCAGGCAAAGGCAACGAGGCAGCAAAAGGAGAGGGCAGAAAAAAGAAGTACGGGGAAAAGAAGTAAGAGAACGAAAAAAAAGCCGAAAGTGATGATGGTACATTGTTTCATCGGACTTGCACCGATTCAACACAGGCTGAAGCCGCTGAACCCTCGACAATCTGTGGAATCCCCATATAGACGCTTTGGGTCATGAACCTTTTGGCCCTTATTGAAAGCAGGCTGCCAGCAGACAACACCACAAGCGGAACATAGCAGCAGGCAACAACTCGTTGAAGCACTAGGCAACCCTGCCGGGACAACGAAACCGCATAATGGCAAAGCTAGCTGCATGCAGACGGGCAGCAAGGCAACAACACAAGGCGCACTGCTAGACAGCCAAACCACACAGCACACAACCAAAGTGCATGGGCAGACAAGCACGCGGATGGGTAGCAAGGCTGCAGTGCAGCGAAGCACAAAGACATCACCAACAATGCGTCCAAACTACATGGCAAACACACCAGCTGCGAAAAACGTCATGGGGAGCAAGCAGGATGGGTAACAAGGCAGCGGCAGAGCATAGACAAGGCAGTCCACACATTCAACACAGAGCGAAGCATTACATCACCTACTCACACCACTGACCGTTGGTCCCCACCACCTGCTGAGCCAGGGAGTCACACCGACGAATGTCCATCATCATCAGTAGGAAATGCAGACATCCCAAACTGAGTAGTCCTTGTAATTGTGCTGCTTTCACTTGGAGCGGCTCCTGGGATAGTTCTGCAAGCACTCTCAAAGAGGACTGACCTACTATTTGGCACTGCTTAGAGGTGCTCAGTTAGACACACAGTAGTTAGAAAAAAACACGAAGTAAAAAAATACAAGGAAAGGCACAGAAAAGAAAAACAGCAGGGAGAAAAATGCACAAAAATAGGAAGACATACATCTGTTAACATTGGAACGATACAGAGAAGACTAGCATTGCCCCCGTGCAAGGATGATACGCATAAATTGAGAAATGGTCCAAAAACAGAAAAATAGGAAGATGTGTAGAACTGACTTTGTGTGTGTGCGATGAGCTCCATGATGTTTCTGTTGCAATTGTTCTGTGCAATTTCGTTTGCTGCTTAGGGACAGCTTGACAGTGCATTCACTAAGCGCTGTGAGTTGCCATGAGATCCTGATTTGACAAGAGGTATAGGGTTTTACTCACAATTAGTGAAACCTTAGTGAGCAAATGGGCCGGCTTGGCCTGCTTGCCCGCACCTTGAGGTCGAGAGCCTCAATGAATAAGGTGCAGAAGGGCAAAAGGAGGGTGTGGCGAGGGAGGGTCTGGTAACACGCGGTGACGTGGTGACAGAGCAAGCAGGTACGCAGCAGGGTAATGAAATATCTTCAAATAATATGTGACTAGTATTTTGTAAGTAGGTATACATGGGTTTTCTCTTTTGTTGTCTCTGCAGACCCCTTGCCGATGCTAAGGAAAATTGAGAGACAGAGGTTAACCTTGCAGTTCTTTGCAATCTTGGATTCCCTAAACCAAGGCAAACGGACTATGCTGGTCAGTTCCGAAGAGCTTTATATCCCCGACAGAATAAGCTGGTCATGTCCAAATTGTTTTATACCTTTTCTATGGTCTGGCCAAAGTTTGTTTCTGCCAACGTCCAGGGAATTAATAAGGGATGTTTTTGTTCCCATGCCTCCATACTGTCCACTATTTCTCGGATGCCACGACTGTTTTCTTTTGCTGCTTCACCTCCTACGGAAGGTAAGTTTGCTTTTTGGCTAGCATTCCCTTGTGAGTGTCTGCCAGTGTTTGGGGGATTGTGAATGAAATTCAATTAATAGATGGTTTGTGTGGTCCCATGCCTTCAGACTTCGCATTGCATCCCTGATGCGTCTACGTGCTGGTTAGCTCACCTTACTGCCTGCCAGGAAAGCAGTTTGGTATCTCTACCAGTTTGGCATTTGTTTTTGGAGACTTCTTTGTGTGCAGTAAAATTCTTTAGGCATCTCTTAAGACTGAAGTTGAATTCAATTCCATCCCCTCCTCTCCGCTCATGTCTGTATAAAGAATTATATGTCTGTGGTTCTTAGGCTGCGGCATAGTCCACATCTTCCCTCAATTGTCTGCCAGGAAAACATACTCTGGTATTTCTTCTTCTTCTTCTTCTTCTTCTTGTTCTTCTTTTTTTTTTTTTTTTTTTAAGGGACCTAGTGTGGAATCCGGGAGACTGGGAATGCCCCCCCCAG